CCACTGTGAGGTTCAGTTACTGTCATCACCCCATTGAGACCCACTCACCCTGGCCTGTTCCCCTCCCTGCTACCGCTAATCCAGGCTCCCTCTTCATTGGAAGAGCGGTGACCTCTGGACATCTCTCCCTCCCCGGGGATTGGATCCCACATCTCAATGTGCTACAGCAACTCCTGACCGCAATATGCAAAGCTCAGGAGTCTTGGCTCTTGTTATCTTGTTATCCCCATTATACACAGGCATTGCACTGGCCTGCCTCTAAGCTGCAAATTCCCACCATCAACCCGAACCCAGAGAAGCCAGGTAATGAGGAGTTATGGGTGAAGAACCCCCCCAGGCTTTTCTAACCACACCTGAAACTCTTCGCTGTCAGTGACACTCTGTGGCCCTCCCCCACCCCGAGACTTTCTGCCCTCAGCACATTCACCGCCCTGGCACTGCGCATCCAGCTGTGAACTCTGGCCTCAGACTTTCCTTCGAGTCCTTCTCCCATCTCCAGCGACAATCTGCAGCACCGGCCCCGCTCCGTGCACGAGGCACTCCTGCTGGGAACCTGGCCCCCGGTCACTGCGCATGTCCGTGGAGCGGGCCCCTGCTGGGAAAAGGAATGGGCCACTTTGCCCCAGCGCCCCGGGGAATCTTCACCCTCCAGCCAGTGTCCCCCAACCTGTGACCGGACCCCAGTCACTGACCCCACAGAACCACCGCCCCACAGTGCATGGGAGTGGGGGCTTCAGAGCGGAATCTCCCACCATCTCTTAGTTGACTGGAATAGATTTTGTATGGGGCCCCAAATCCCCAGGTAAAGAATTCTGGTTATTCAAGGGAGGTGTTTATTTCTCCCATATACAAATGTATAAGGAGCAGTCTGACCCCTCTCTGAGCCAGTGTATTAGTCATTTACATCTCGGAGGAGAGGAGTTTGTGTCTCTTATAAGGAGCGGGACAGGCCAGTGGTTCTCAGCCGGGGTAAGCAGAGGTCTTCCTGGGGATGCATCAGCTCATCCAGACGTTTGCCTACAACCAGCTCCATAACAAGCACTAGCCAAGTCAGTACTCACTAAAACTTCATACGGACAATGACTTGTTTCTACTGCTCTATAGGCTGAAATTTAGTACAATATTTATATTCCCATCGATTTATTTTCTAATGATATGATACAAATGAGAAAGGCAGCAATTTCTCGGTAATGTGCTGTGACACTTTTGTATTTTGATGTCTGATTTTTAAACACACGGTTTTTAGGTGAGGTGAAACTTGGGGTACGCCAGACAAATCAGACTCCTGATGCAGTACAGTCTGGAACGGTTGACAGCCACTGAACTAGGCCATTTTCCTGTCTCTATTAGTGGCCAGAACCAATTGCAAGAAACCCTGGACACGCCCACTAATCCTAGGGAGGCTCCACTGCAAAACTTAACTCTGTCCTCAGACTCCTCCCCCGCCAGCTTCTCCCACCTGCACCCACAGGCGGCCCCAGACCTGGTCCAGAGCACCAGCCAGGCTTGCTCAGATCACGTCCCTAGTGTCATGGATCATTTCAATGTAGCCGGTCACTGCTGGGAAGGGAAAGGGGCTTCCGTCCCAAATCCCTCCCAGCGCAATGGGAAATCTTCCCTCTCCAGCGGGTGTCCCAGCCCAATGGATCCCTGGGACATGACCCCTCCCCAGACACTGACCCCCCTGACCGGACGTTGCATGGCCCCTGTGCGCGTGGAACGGGGCTCCAGAGCTGAGTCCCCCCAATCCCCAATATCACCTCACAATAGCCAGGCCCTCAGTTCCTGGGTGAGGAAATACAGTCACTGCAGGGAGCTGGTCATTCCTCCCAGGGGTCCAAAAGTGTCAGGAGAACCCCAGTGCCCTGTGCCCGGCGCTGCACAGACACACAGGCCGGGACAGTCTGACTCCCGCACCCGGAGCCCTAGGGCGAGTCAGTCAGATCACTGGCAGCGGGAGTGTGGGTCTCTTATAAAGCGGGGGCATGCAAATGAGGGAGACAGTTTCCTGTTTAAATCTGTGCCTCTCTCTGCCCAGGCTGCACCTGGAGACACAATCCGCAGCCCCTGTGTCTGTGCAGTGACCAGCCAGTCCCCTGAGAACTTTCCCTGCCAACAGCAGGGAAAATGGGATTTTTGCTCCTTGTAATTTTCGCTGTAGCAGCTTTGGAAGGTATTTTCCTCCTCTGAATAAGTGGCAGATTTAGAAGAATATTGTGTTACCGCTGTTTTTATACCGATATTAATGGTCTGTCTTTATTCCCAGGTGTCCGGTCCCAGGTGCAGCTGGTGGAGTCCGGAGGGGATGTGAAAAAGCCCGGAGACTCTCTCCGCCTCTCCTGCAAAGCCTCCGGGTTCACCTTCAGCAGTGCCTACATGAACTGGGTCCGACAGGCTCCTAGCAAGGGACTGGAATGGGTCGCTTATATAAACCCTGGTGGGAGTACTATATACTACCTTGATTCAGTGAAAGGCCGATTCACCATCTCC